CAAGCACAACTAATGTTAGTAGAACCTGGTGGTTGCCTTCCAAAGCAGGAACGGGTGTCCTACAGGGAACTTTAGTAGACTTTGGGTGCTTCAAATCCTGCCAAGGTCGTTATACAGGTCGTTTTCAAACAATGCCTTTGAGTCACTGCGGGTCCGGGCCTCACTCCTACGCCAGTGGCGAGTTACAATCTCCCCGTGCGGGGAACGCCCGGCGAGACGAACTGGCGGCCGGCGGCTCACCCACATTGCCAGTGGCTTGCTCAGTCGGGTCCTTGGACTCCACACTGCGCACAAAACTGTGTCTACCTGTCAGGTCGGGGCCCCCTTCTGCATGCTCAGGGTGTCTGTCTGTCCCCCAACCGGTCCTCTGCAAGCGTATCGGAAGCAATTGGTGCACACTCTCAGGACTATGGCCACGATGCATGCACACATTCTTCAGGAGACGCTTCACAGGCACAGGGGACATTAAGTTTTCGCTTCAGCTGTCATGCTCCCCTCTTGTGTGTGGATTGTGCGATCCTGACATCGGATTCTCGATGCGGGCACGACTCTGGGCCTCAATGCGTCCAGTCTGTTCTGTGCATTGCTGCTATTGGGCCCGAAACAGTTTTCCAGTTACCTTTGTTGTTTTTCGGGGAAGGCGGTGCAATGGGACAAAACCACCAAGCTTCGCTCGGCCAACCGAGCGGGAAAGAGCGAGAGAGCAAGCATACAGACGACAATCAAAAACACGGCAAGAGCCAAATGTGCTGCTCGCAAACCTCTGGATCGGAGTCTTGGCATGCATCGCTTCCCTCCCCCACCGCCGCCCCCACCACGAAGGGGATTTGCTGGATCAGTGGCACCACAGGCGGACAAGCTGATGTCATCGGACAGGCGACTGGCTCATAGAACCCCGGGCTCGTCTTTGTCGGGAAAGGAGTCAGCACAAGTCTCTCCGGACACTCAGCTCGATGCATTGAGAGGGCGGCTTCACAGGAAACTGACTGAGTGCTGCCGTAGCTCAGCTGGTTTTATGCCTACCTTTGTTACTGTTCAGCCGCTGCCCTGTACAGCCCCGGTGCCTAATACCACATATGGTGGCAACGGCTCAGACGATTTGATCAAGGGTGAATCGGTTCACGCTCGTAGCAGCGAGACCGAGACCGAGTCTCCGACGGCACTGCTCACCTGCAGCCCCAAGGGCGAGTACATGGTTGCACTCTGTTACTTCCTCTGCCTTGTGCGCTGCTTGTGTTCGCGTCTTAAGTTCATTCTGCCTGCTGTGCGTAAGGTCGGGGACACATCGCTTGAGAAACGCCCAGGTCCGACGCTAAGTGGCCCGTCAGGAAAAGCACAAGCCTCCGCCGCTTTGTGCTGGTCTGGCATCGATAACGATCCGCATTCCTCTTGTCAACACTTGGAAGCCGAAGCCAGTGGCTCACACTTTACTGTCTGTAGTGGGGTGGCGTTGGCTGGGAAACTCTTGTCTACTTTGCTAGGCCGCTAGGCTGGCTGCTCAGTGTATCTCTGTGTCCTGCCATTCTGAGCGTGGCTCTGCACAGCCAAACGAAGGCGCAAACCCGACCTGCAGGAAGCACATAAATCTCTGCATATTGGCCACATACCTTGCAGGTTGCTGTCACATGGGTCTCTCGCTTGGCTTGGAATCGCATCCCTTTCAGGAAGCTTACCGACCTCAAGCTGTTGCTCAGGCACCCGGCTGTGTCACACTCAGGCACATGAACAATATAGGCTCAGGCCTGCTCAGATCGTCGGTAGAGCAGTGGTCCTGGCGTCTAAGTGGTCTTCATCACTCTTGTCTCTCTGCAGGCCCTGGCTTTGCCAATGGGCTACCATACTGGGGGCAGTGGCCCCGATTCTCATCTGGCTAGAGGTGCTACCTCAGCCGGATCATACCAGCACATGCCGCCAGACAAATGATCTGGATTTCGTTGAGGTTCCAAACCATGGGATCATCTGGGTCCCCATCTCGGCAGTCAGTGGCGTTCTGCTCGCGGCACTGAGCTTTCGTAAGTTGTGCGCAATGCCCGGTCCTAAGTCCGGGGGAGGTCGAGGTAGTTCTCTTTGCTCGTTACGATGGCTATTCCTTCTACTGGTCGTCGGTTCACAGCTTACCTCGGTCTCTGGGGTGAAGGTTGATGCCTCTGTTGCCCAGCACGCATCGGGAGTGTCTTCGGACACGAAACATGGGTCATCTTTCGTTAATGCACCTAGAACCGCCGTATGGAGTCAAGCAAGAAAGCGATCATTCAAGAGGGCATG